TCGCCAGCAGTTTTGGTGGCTGTGTCTGAAGAAGGATGTGGAAAACTATGTCAAAAATTGTGCGGTGTGTGCCACTATGAAAAGACTTCTGGGGAAGCCCCCTAGACTACTACAGCCCGTCGCAGACCCTTCCCAGCCATGGGAAGAAATTGCTATGGATTTCATAGTTGAGTTACCCGAAAGCAGAGGAAATATGGTAATTTGGACTGTGATTGAGCTTTTTTCGAAGCAGGTTCATTTCGTCGCCTGCAAGGGACTCCCATCAGCCCAGAAACTAGCCAAAATGTTCCTTAAACATATTTACAGGCTGCACGGCGCACCAAAATGGATAATCTCTGACAGGGGGTGCAATTTACAGCCATATTTTGGAGAAATTAGATCGTCACGAGAACTGTCGTCGGCTTTTCACCCGTCTACGAATGGGGTGGCTGAAAAAGCGAACTCAATGGTGGAGCAGTACCTAAGGTGCTATGTGAGTACCAACAAATGAACTGGACTGACCTCCTCCCTTTTACCGTTCATACCAGCACTGGTTTCACTCCTTTTAAGATTATCACAGGAAAAGAATTCAATCTAATACTTGAGTATCCACAAGGACCTTCTACCTCCCAGACTCTGTACAACATGCTATACACCAGGCACTGGAGATTGTTATAGTTAAAAACCAATAAAATATTTATTAAAAAAAAAAGATTGCTACGGGAAAAAAATTCAACCCAATACCTGAGTCAAGGACTCTTTACCTCCCAGACTCTTGACCAATGGATGTCAAAATGGGGAGAGGTTTAGAACAAAACAAAAACAGCGCTGAAGAAAGCCTCAGAGACATATAAAGCTGATAAAAAGCGATCTCCCCAGAGATCTCTCCATGCTGGGGAAAAAGTTTATTTATCCACGAAATACCTACGACTTAGGTTGCCTAGTAAGAGGTTGGGACCGAAATATCTAGGTCCCTTCGCTATCGTCAGAATCATAAATCCAGTTACAGTGGAGTTGAAACTCCCATGACTTTTAGGGAAGATTCACCCTGTATTTCATTGCAATTTATTAAAACCATTCAGGGGTTCTACTTTACGACCTCCTCCCAAGAAAGCACCTGCTCCCCTAGTGGTAGCTGGGCAAACACATTATGAAGTAAAAAGCATCCTTGATTCTAGAATTTTTAAAGGAAAATTGCAATATCTAGTTCAGTGGAAGGGATATCCATTATCAGAAGCCACGTGGGTGAAATCCGATGATGTGAAAGCTGATAGGCTCATCTGTAAATTCTATGACAAACACCCCAACAAGCTAAGGGGAAACCCTTAACCTATGCTTCTGTTTAACTTGCAGGATTGCACCTTTCTCTTAAGGGCCCCCGGATGTCAACGCTGTGACAATGGATGTCGTCGCTCTGACACCTGAGAATCAGCAGCCATTTTTACTTTTGCTTCTAACGTGCCTTTTCTATTCTTTTAGAGTTCAGATGTAGAAGGGGGATGGATGAATGCTTGAGGGTTTAGCTAGCCATAACATTGTAGAAGTGTAGGAACTCAAGGACATAGTCTGATAAGATTTGGCAGGCTGAGAGCACGGTGAGAAAAGCCCACGTCTTGCATTAATTGGGAATGTGATTTATGACAGCATCTGTGGGATAGGAATTGCAGCTTGTTACTTTGTATCTGGGTGGAGGGAATCTCAGTTTTGGGTTCAACTACATGAGTGCTGATATTTTGTTTCCAAATAAAATGTTCTTTAAGGAAGAATTCTTGCCTTGAAATTCTTTTATTGGTTTCATCTATCGGAACCATGACACTAATTTTGAAATTTATTTGGCAAGGAAAGAAAGCTAGAATTAAATTGAAAATGCTACAAGAAGCTAGAATGGGTTTTATATTATCAAGCATCTGTATTTACATGGGTAAAAGAATGGATAACTCTAAGAAATAAAAGGTTGGTATATTTGGAGGGACATGATTTACAACTTGGTTGGCACGCTTTCTTACGTTATAGGAAAACAAAATTCATAAGTATTTTCAAAACCACTATATAAGAAATGCATTACAACTAACATACGAAAAAATAAAATGTAAAATATACTTGAAAATTCCAGGATGGCTTTCAACAATGGAAGCATTTGTACATCTAAATTATTCAATTTTGAAAAAATATGGACATATATTCTAAATTCTGAAAGGAATTTAAAATCTAAACAAGAGATGGAAAATCAGGATATGGATCTATCATGGTGGGCATACTTACAAATGCAAGTTAGATATGATAAAGATGTTAAACTGTACGGATTTTATAAAGAGCAGACCTTGTTTGATCAGATATTATTAACCTCTGATGAGAAACTAATTAAAAAAATCTATTTAAATTTTATTGAATTTGAAAATGGAAAATGAACAAGTTAAAGAAACAATGATAACATGGACAAAGAATTGTGGATATAACACAAATTTAGAAACATGGCAAAACTTGTGGGAAAGAAATTATAAATTGACAATGTCAACTTCTTATAAAGAAAACCTATATAAAATGTTTTATAGATGGCACTTTCCACTAGCAAGGTCAGCAAAAATGTTTAAAAATATGTTAGATAGATGTTGGTAATGTAAACATAAGTCAGGTACTTATTATCATGTATGGTGGACATGTTTTAAAGCAAAGAGGTACTGGACAAAAATATATACTTGGCCAGAAAAGATGTTGGGAAAGCATGTAGATTTTAAACCTGAACTTTTTTTACTAGGTATAATGCCAGAAAAGATTGATAAAGTATATACTTGATTTTACATGTGATAATAGTGGCAAAAATCACATTCGCACAATATTGGAAAAATGAAGAAATACTACTAGAGGAAGAAATAATTAAAAAAATACTAGAATGTGCAGAAACGGACAGACTTACTATGAGGTTGAAAGAAAAAGAAGAAACAGATATTTTCAAACTTTGAACTTATTTTATCAATGGCTGGAGAAAAGAATAAAGGATTAGGAATTAAATTTGTATTAGTGAGTGATAAACTCAGTCAACACGTTTGTTGAATAAATACTACTGAATTGTATGAAAAATAATAATAAAAACTTTAGAAAAAAAAAAGAAAATAGTCATTCATGCCTGTGACATCTTCCACTGGGTCACTGTGATTTGTTTTGCATGGGGCTCAACTTGAACACCACCCAAAAACTTCAGCTGGTGCAAAATGGCTCTCTCTTTATAAATCACATTAGCTATCACTATAAATATAATCTGTTGTTGGACCTGTAAGGGCTACTGAGTTCAATTCACTCTTTATATGAGTAAACAGAAAAGGTGTATTGAAGGCCCCACCTACTGAGAATTACAAAAGGAAAAACCTGAAAGAAAACTTTTTCTGTGGGGATTCCCATTTTCAGGAAAAGGTCCTTGAGGGAAAGGTGTCTCCATCTCTCAGGGCCTTCTAGAACTTTTTATAAAAAATTGGCTATCCTGGGAGGCCTTTTGGATAGGATTGTGAAGGTTTGCTAACTTCAGGAGATGAACTTTTTATTAATATATAATTTTTAGGTTTTACTATAATTTGTATGTATTTTATTGTTTGCAGTTTCTTTGTTGCCACTTGTTTTTGTACACTGCTTGTACTGAAGTATAAATTTGAGTAAAATAAAAAAAATGAGAAACAAAACACAATAGCTATTCAGATACCCACAAGTGACTAATAATGGCAATTGGTGAATAAAGAAAGAATGGTTTGTTTTGATTACATGGTTTAAGCAGAAGTCTATTTCATACCTACAACTGGAAAAGCAATGGATATACATCTGTAAGGGAGGAAAAGATGCATAGAACGAAATAATTACAAGTATGAAAAACATTTTTCAATGTGTATATAGAAAAAATAGAGGTACAGAAGAGACAACAAAGAGAGCAAGGAAGATTTAAGGTTTAAACAGGCAGAAAATGCAGAAAAAAATTGGTGAAAATAAAATATTTATTTATTTTTCATATTTAGGAACTGCCCCCATTTTCCTCTCAGAAGGATTCTAAGCAGTGTAGAAATAAAATATTACAAGCATTAAAAACAGTATACAAAATTTAAAAGAAGGAATGTTAAAAAAATAATTAAAAGGCAGGAAAAAGATTTCAGGGGCTAACCAGTCCAATATTTCTCTGTGTGTCTCAAGCAGGTACCACAGCCATGTTTTCATGCCTTTCTAAAAGGTCAGGGGAGTGGGGGCCCACCTCACCTCTGGGGAGAGAGTGCTGCATAGAGTGGGGGCAATGGGAGATAAATTTCTATTCCTGTATCCTGCCAGTTGAAATTGTTTTGGATATAGTTAAAATATTTGAATAACAGCAGAATGAAGACATTTTAAAAATATTGATTTGGGATGAATCTGAAGTAAAAGCGGGCTGGAAGGAGTACTTTAGGCATCTGAATGGGAATGATAGTGATACACTGAAGTATGGAATTATAACTTATCTACAAATGTTGGAGTCCAAGAAAATATGGGTAAGAAGGAATTCATAAAACCGGGAAAAAACATTGAAAAATACTCTACAGATATATATGGTGTATGTGGAAAAATATTAAAATATGGATATGGTATATGGAGTTTCTTTCAATGTTTAATGGAAATTTGAATGCCCTGTCATTTGGAAGAACGTCATTATTGTTCCTCTATGAAAGTGAAAAATGGTAAGAATGAATACAAAAACTACAGAGATTTGTTTGTTAAATGTGTCTGGCAAGGTGAAAGGGGAAATTCTGATTGAAAAAGTAAAAAAGCCGACAATGAGCAAACTTTGGTGCATTGTGGTTTTATGGTAGGGGATGTACAGTAGTGTGAAATGTAGGATTTTACATTGCAGCAATATATTTGATGCTTTTTAAAAATATATATTCTGTTTATCATTTTCATTCATACCTTCTTGTGCGCATTTACCATAAAAGATGAGAAATATTATTTATTCATTGACCAAATAATAATTGTAATGTTTTAAAAAATCCAATTTACTCCAATATAAAACTTACCATCTAGTCTAAGTTGTCTGTCATCAAATCGTATATGCCTGGTATCATCTTTGACATAATTGATGTCTGTATTGCCTAAGCTGTTGAACTGGAATGTGAACAATCGTTTTTTGTGCCCTATGAATCGATCCTTGCAGGAATCCTCTGTGCATAATCCATTTTCAGAATCATTATCGCCTCCAACAGAATCTTCCGACTGACTGTTTTCATTTTCAGAAGGCAGTTCTTGATCTTGGCTAGATTCATCATCTTGTTCATCAGTTTCCATCTCACCTGTGATAGAAGACATAATGATAGAGTGAATATCTTTGACATTTGGATATGTGGATTGTAAAATCAAGGCATAAAGAGTTACAGTATGACTATCTTTTTCTAATGTAGAATTTTGAAACAATTTACAAATTGTTCGGGTTAGAATTTGAAACACATGCATAAAACTAGATTAACAGAATTGTATATAAACCATTCCCATTCATAAACAAGGACAGGTAAAGTCTACCTGATTTATCTTAAATTTGGATGATTTATTAAGCCAAAGGAAGATTATTACTAATGATAAACAATAATATGGATTCTAATAAATTAAGATATTTCTTTAAATATTATAGGACTGAGGATATTACTGGCTGTTGAGAAGAGGTATATGGTCTAAAACTCAAATATTTCAAAACAATAAAGGAGAAAATGTAAGAAAATGTAAGAATTTAGTATATTTTATACTAAACTATTTTCAGCAATTTCCAACTTATTCTACTATATATGCTAATTACAAATAATTATTTTAAAAAAGAGTAGCTCTGATTCTTTAAAATTTTGTTCAATCTTTCTGCTTAGATTTCATTAAGTGTTGCCCATATTATTTTAAGCCCAATAATTAGAACTGTATAGTGTGTTAATGGAACAAAAATACTTATAAATGGCATCATTCTATCAGATGAAAGAGCACTGTTATTACAATACCACTTTCTTTCACAATTTCTCTATATACATTTATTTTAAAAGAGAACAGAGCACCCTCATGAGATATGCAAAGTATTAAAACTCTTTTAATATACTTTTAACACAGTACACACTAACTGTGAATTATCATATACAGTATACGAAATACAATTTGAGCATATGACAACAAAAGAGTCCCTTATGTTTGCAACTGTACTTTTTAGCATCTTAAGTATTAGGGAGTGACTTTTTGCTACATTTATTAGAATGTTAATCAGGATTATGAATTAAGGATAACCAATATGCTGAAAGGCAATTGACAAGGCAAAATAAGTTTTAAAGGAAGACAACACAGTTTAACATTTAAGCAGCTTTTAAAATTCAGGCCTTACTTGGAGATCCTTCTTCATGAATTCCATTTGGACCATTACCATTGATACTATTGTCCTTGCAGCACTGGAGAGATGCTTCACTGTCTTCTGTTTCAGCAGAGGTTTTCACATATCGACTGAAATGCACCAATCAATTAATATACCAACCTTCTTGTTACGATACTTTTTTCTACCTTTACATAATGCAATGAAATTAACCATACTAATGTTTGGAAATTGAGTACTGCTATATTTTTACTTTGTAGTTGTGCTACAGCAACATTACTTGATAAAAACTGCTCTATTTTTATATTGTAAGTTATCTTGCAATCTTTACAGATAGTTGAGGATAAAAATTTATTATAAATATCTAGAAGAAGTCCTTTGATGATCTTCAAACTATCTCCTAAGATTACTAATTGAATAACTCAATAGCCTTAAGACACAGGATTATTGAGGAGTATAACTAGGGTGGTAGAAACCAGACCACCTGCCTTCTCTGCCATAGTCCCTACCCATTGGAACACTCTCCCTTTCACATATTGACTGAACCCGACCCTGCTGGCCTTTCATAAAGCCATGGGGATTGATTGTGTGCCCAGGCCTAGGGCCCAGAGTGTGTTAAGGGCCCCACTTCTTGGTTATATTAACATATATAGTAACAGTTCTACTTGGTGCCATCAGAATTTATTTTATATTGTTTAAATTTTTATTTGTTTTTATGTTCCATGATGTATGCTCAACGCCATTTCTTGAGATGGATGTAGAAATGAAATGAAATAATTAAATAAATATGTAGCATCATGCAGACATTGCTGATCCTTCTTTTTAAGATTAACCATGGAATCAGAAAAAGCAGATTAAAGAAGTCTTTTATCTTTTGCTAGATCTACATTTGCGATGCGCAAATATCTCCAATACACATCAAATGTACTGTAGCATTTCTCTTGTACACTTACCACATTCTTAATAGCAGAAGGTTATACAGTTTATCTTCAGTGTTATTTCTAGGCACTGTTATAAGGAAAGGTTGTCCAAAATGTGTTGAACCACTATGATGGCTATAACCACTATGACGAAACTTTTCCCTTAAACAAACTGGAATTACAACTTGCTCTGTATCTTCAGTTCTGTTGATAGCAATTTCAAATCTAAAGCAGCAAAAATGAAATCAAACAAAAATGCAAAATACTAATTTTAAATTAGGCCATATTTTTATATAATTTAACTAAATCACATACAATTTATGAGAATTTTTTTTGTTTTGACTATAGATTTGAACTTACACATAAATGTCATCACGTTCCATAATACTAGTTAGATTTTCATCCATTGCAAATATTCTATGAAATCTATGATTATATATATCAGTAACGATCATCTAAAAGAGAAACACAATTTATTTTATGTTTGTTTAGATGTATAGATAATATTTAGTTTGATGTACAGTCACTTAAGAAATATCATACCTTATCTGCAGCAACACCTGCCAAAGTTGATAATGCGATGCAGAGATCCTGTATATTTCCAATTTTTGGTACTACTACTTTGTACTAGAAAATAAAATACAATATTGTCATTCTTAAGAAACAAAGAAGATAACTGGATATAATCCCCAAGATTTAATACTGAAGTAATGTAAGAAAATTATATATGAAAGAGAGCTTTTGAAAACAAATATAGTTAGTTGAATGAACTGTAAACATATATGGATCAAACTCCCTAGTCCATCTTTAAAGGAAAGGAAGTACTAGTTAGGACAGTGGCTTAATAGGAAAATTTTGGTGGTGGAAAGGGAATCTATTAAAGAACAACTGGTGATAAAATCCAATTGCCTACCATGAAAAATGTAAATACTATTTCTCTTGCAGCATTCAAACAAACTAATGTTCATATTTGACTCTCAAAGCCATCATCATCCAATTCATACTACTGTTTTATAAGCTATAGTAAAGTATTATAATATTCCTTCATTATGTATCTGATTTATAATGAATCCTTATTAAATATTAAACTAATCTAGGAAATTTCACCCCAATACAGTATGTATGCATTCATTTTATTGTTAATATTTGCTGTGCCTTTAAGATCTTATTTTCCAGACAAATCAATTTAATGAAATAAACAGATCTGAATAAATAAAGAAAAACATTGCATTGAATTTGCACTATTCTGGTTACCTACTTAATACACATTAGGATTTTCTCACATAAATTGTAAACTGCATCTTGCAGGAAAAAATGCTTTCAAAATTTGCCCCTCACAGAAATCTCTATATAGCACTGAGTTCTAGTTCACTACAAACTGGAAACAATAATGATGTATTTTATTTCCTTTGAGGAATGGACAAACTCAATTGCAAGCTTATGGCTTGGAGTGATGTTGAAACTGGGACAAAATGGTTGATCTCTCCATTTCATAGTTGTAAAAGGAAGCCTTGTAATATATTCTGCCAATTCTCTTAGAAATACAACTGCATTTTAAAATACAGAGAATTGGCACCAGACCTACTGTAATAATACAGTTGTCCAGTCAAACAGATTTTTGAACAGACAACATAATGAGAATGTTGAAACAGATACATTTTCTCAAGAGTTATGATAAAAAGATGCAAAGATTGTGGCCTTTAACTAATAACTCTGCCTAACCCAGAAGCCCAACCTTGATTCCTTTTTCTTCCCATCATATATACTGTATAAAATATCTGATTCTTTGCTCATTTGTGCTCAGTTTTTCGGTTATAATTGCCACCAAATAAATGATTAAGATTATGGATAGAACTATGCCCCAAAAGCAAAGATATACTGGGGAAAAGTTTTTAAGGCCAATTTTCTGCAATCTAAGCTGAGAGACAGATGATTCCTTAACAGAAAACAGAACTATCAAATGGCTTCTTGCATTTATTAACTAGAAATATGATTAAATTATGAGGAAAATGGAGAAAATTATATTTGTAAACCATATTATTTAATATCAATCATATTGAAAAATCAAATAATTCTTTATATTACACACTTTTGTCTTATAATAGTTCTAGTTCTAGTATTCATAACAAATTGCTGTCTTACTGTGTTGTATTGCTGTAGTAATCATAACAGCGAAGATTGTTATGATTCAAGGGAAGAATAGCTGCCATCTTTACGATGGTACTATAAATTACACAAAGTTACAAGTTATATACATAGTTAAGAGAAAAGACCACAGTATCAAATTGAAAGTATAACTTAAAATTCATAAAAATAAACAAAATTTCATTTCAATTAACACATTAAAGCAACTACTGCTGTAAAACATGGCATCTATTTCTCACCTGCATGGGTTTGGAAAGTGGATCCAGTCTAACTAAATAAACTTCCAAACTACGTTCTTTTTTCATAGGTAGAGGGAGAGTTAAATAACAAAAGGGATCAAATGTTACAGAGATCTTGGCACATTCCGGACAAACTAGAGTTGATTTAAAGAGTCCATGAAATATATCTACAATGATGGAATCATTTCGTTTCAAATGGTTCTCCCAAGCTTCTTCAGCAACCACCTAAATCAAAACAAAGTTAAAATAGTACAAATAAGTTTTATGAAGTATTAAATACTTAAATGAAATTAACAGATCATGCACATACCTATGTGTACCTTACAGAACCTAATAGTGTTATCCAGCAGATTACAGTGGGAAAAAGTAACTGTCAGAATCCAAATATATTCCATCTCTAGTTATCAACTATGAAAAACCGCATTTCTGCCTTCTCTGGATTCTGTCATACGATGAAGGGAAGGGGGTGAACAAAGAGGCTTTATGGCCCTCACTTCCTTCAGCCTACTTCAAAGGGACTGGATGTGGATATCACCAAAAGGACTAACAATAACAATGGGGGTCATTAGCTTTCATGGAATCCTTTCTGAAGTCTCCTCCCGGCAGTGAGGAAAAAGGGGTGAAAATGTAATGCCTGGGATTGTCACTGGGAGAAGGGGGTGATGGGGTGTGGCTAATGGGGGATCCCTTAAAACCTTGAATGGGAAAGCTTGGACCCAAGTCCTGTCTAGAACGCCTGCATCCAGCTTTCTCTTAACAAAGATGCCTGTTGGAAGAAATATTCCAGGAGTTCTGTCTTCTTAAGATGCAAAGTGGGGTGGGTCCTTACATTAGACAGGACTTGCAAAATTAGTCCACCTGGAAGGAAGACCCTTGCCGGGGGACTTTGCAAAAATTACCATGTCAGACAGTGGAGCAAGGAAGGGAGAAAACTCCCCGGAAAGGGAGCCGCTGCCC